TGTGTCTGTATATGTGTTTGTGTGTGTACAAACAGACAGACCTAGACAGATAGATCGATCACCAGACAGGCAGACAGACAGACAGACAGACCTAGACAGATAGATGGATCGCCAGACAGACAGACAGACAGACAGACAGACCTAGACAGATAGATGGATCGCCAGACAGACAGACAGACAGACAGACCTAGACAGATAGATCGATCGCCAGACAGACAGACAGACAGATATAAACGCCAACCTTCATCACCGCCAAATTAATTATTTAAAAAGTGGACTGGCTGGAAAAATTCATAACGCCAGAGATTTTTTTCATGGTTTGTTGAGCTGTTTGTTTATTTGTTTGTGTTTGTTTGTTTTGTTTGTTTATTTGTAGGACTTTCTTTGTTTAGTTGTTTTAGTGTTTTGGTCATTATTTGTTTGGTCTTTTTTGTTAAATGTTTTTTTGTTTTTGTTTTCATATTTTTTTTCGTTGTTCCTTGTTCTTGTTCTCGTTCTTTCTATTGTTTTTTCTCCGTTTTGGGTTTTGTTTATAATTTCTTTCATTCTTTCTTATTTTGGAGGGAAGTCTCTCTCTCTCTCTCTCTCTCTCTCTCTCTCTCCTCTCTCTCTCTCTCTCTCTCTCTCTCTCTCTCTCTCTCCCTAAAAAAAAATTAATAATAGCCCAGTGATCCCTAAAACAAACGAAGCTAGTAGGTAGGTAACACAAGCCGGAACAATAGCGTCAATAGCTGCTGCTAGTGGCTCTGGTACAACAATAAGCGCGCGTCTCACACGGTTTGTTTACATAAGCTCCGAATATATATATAAAAATCCGGATTCAAGCTCAGCGTTTTTACTGAAAGGCGGATTTTTTTTTTAAGAAAGGAAAATATAATTACCTTAATTTTCACTTTTTGACTGATTGATTTATTTATGAATGGAATAATTGTGATGACTAAACGGATATTAAATTTTTATAGGTATTTAACTTAATTTGAATTATGTATGATACGTTGTGCTTAATTGTAAAAATTTCGGCTCGTATTCATCATTGTTGACATGATGTATCTGGATTCATGATTCACGAACGTACGTAAGATAAACACACCTGGTAAACAACTATACCATACACGTAACTACATACATTAGATGATTTAAGATTAAAATTACCATACGAACAATAACATACAGATAAAATAAAATTATATACAAATAAAATAATAATGAAATTCAATAACATATATAATAATGAAGAAACAATAACAAATAATGATGAAATAAACCCATTAATTCCATCTGTCATAACTTCAATAACATTACGTAATCAGACATCCAGACAATCTTCACCATGCATAATTACAACTCTTCATAAGTCTTGTCTCAGAATATGATGTAATTTCAACCGAGGTCTTTCTTAGGGACATTGTAAGAACTAATTAACCTGACTCAAACTCGTCACCTGTGAGCCAAGAAAAGAGAATTTGGTCGTAGTGTTGTAAGAGTCTACGGAGATCTCCCGCCACATTTGACTACCTAATGTATTATGCTCGTAGGCTTATGTGTGTGTGTTTGTTTATTAATTTATTCCTTCTATATGTGTTTTGGTGCTACTGTTATTAACCACCATTACGCACACACACACACACACACACACACACACACACACACACACACACACACACTCCTCAATTTGGTGTAAAAAACATTAGGTGGCCTTGCTTCAACTCTCATTATTACACCTGACAAGGTAATTGCAGTAACTTGACTCTTGTTAAGCACTTAGCGTTAACAGCTTGTTCAGCACGATAATTGCCTCCGCCAATACATCTCCCGGTAGAAAATATTTTGACCTAATATATTATGTGACCTGACCTGACCTGACCTGACCTGGCTGCTAGCGTGTTAGCATTACAAGGGTCATAACTCAGTAGAGGTTGTCCGCTTATTAGGTCAACATCGATGTTGTTTTTTTTTTTCTTTATTTTAGCTTCATGTGTTTTTATTGTGTGAGTTATTGTTACTCTCTCTCTCTCCCCAGGTTAGGTTAGGTTAGGTTAGGTTAGCAGAACGTAAATGTGATTAATATTCGGGTTAGGTGAGCGTGATCCATATATCGATGTTTTTAATCACAAAGGAAAAATAAGACAGTAAAATCCACAGGACTTTCGTATATATATAATTCCCTTTAAGCACCAAATATCCCCATAAACACTCAATTTACCCCCAAACAGTATAATTTCCCCCTAGAAACAATAACAACTAACCCCTGAAACAATAAAAAATACCCCCAGAAACAATTCAATTTTCCCCCACATCAACAATTCCATTTTTTCCCCTAAACTACAGTAAATTTTCCTGACATGGCGTAACCCCACCGTAATGAACCTCCGCTCAACAAGGACATAACCAGCACTTGCTAACTCATTACATCTACAGGGAAAGAATGTGTGTGTGTGTGTGTGTGTGTGCAGGGAGGAAACTATACCACGCTAGGGAATTTACTAATTAAAGCCTTTGGGTAAATAAAAGGTAAAAAAATATTACCCCCTCCCAGGATAAGGGAAACTGACTTAATTTACAAGAGTTAAGGGAATTTCACGAATATGTTTGTTATTAAGTCAGGAGGTGAGGATTCGGACGCGTTGGTGTTAAGTTTAGAGGGAGTTTTTGTAGGTATCTGAACATTTTGGAATCATTGTTACGTATCTGTACGTTTTAGTGTACTTTTTTTTTGTAGTTTTGGTACTTGTTTAAATGTGTTGGTACGTTTTTTGTAGGGTTGGTACGTGTTTAAAGGTGTTAGTGTACTTTTATGATAAGGTTCGTACGCATTTAAAGCTTTTGTTATGTTGGGTTTTTCCAATGGCATTGTATTCGTACGTAGTGGCACATATATTGGAGCACTTTACGTTATATTTCAACGCATTTGGACATATTCAACATTAATTTCGTTGTAATATGTACGTAATGGGACTGATTCTCGAATGCTGTCGTTGTATGAGTGTTTATTTACCAGTAATCTCGTAATAATCTGGGCTAACCCTACTGGCGGGACCTGATTCAACGGGTTATATACTTTAGATCTCTTGGGCAAATGGTTAGAACGTATCTGAGAATGTAAACAATGTACTAGATACGGTATTGGATAATGAGTGTAGGAGTGTTTGTGTATTTGTGTGTTTGCACCTGCTAGGGGAGTGTAGATGTGTATTTGAAAATGTTGGTAGGGGTGTAGAGTGTATTAGAACAGTTTTGTGGTGTGTTGGGTGTATTTCAATGAGCTCAACTGTGACGTGTGACTGATGGGTGTAGCCAGTCTTTTCTACACTTGGGGGCGGGGCAAGGGGGGGGTTGTTGGATCTGCCTTAGTGCAGTAGTGTTGGTGGTGAGTGTGGAGTCACTGCGACATTCTGTAATTGTCAAACTTTTCCAGCTGGCCTCGTGCAATTCTCTCACATGAATGAGCCTGTGACGCGGGCCTGGGGTCACCTCCGCTACCACACCACCCTAATATTAAACTATTTTTCGACAAACTTCCTTCTAACTTGGTTTTATGAGGAAAGGAAAAAAAAATGTATGGAATGAAAACGTTACTCGATTTACCAATATAAGCTGAGGCGGTTATGTGGGTTGATTTTTGTTCTATACGTTAGTTCATTTGTTTTTTAATTTGTTTTTGTGTTTTTGTTTTGTTAGGGTCTTGTGAATGTTGGAGTTGTTTTTATATATATTTAGATGTTATGTAGATGGTGTTTGTTGAAGGAGAAATCTCTCTCTCTCTCCCCCCCCCCCCTCTCTCTCTCTCCCAAAACAACATTTACCGCCACACAACAATTAATAACTCCTCCTGTGTGTTCAACAACCACAACAACACCACAAGTCTGCAGCATCAAGGGAACATTACCAACCAATGTCAAAGGTGGACGAGAGAGAGGGGGAGAGAAGGGTACGGGAGGGGTGGGGTGGGGAGGTGAGGGGAGAGGAAGAAGAGGAGGGAAGGGAAGGTCCAGCTCCCCCAGTCGTACTGCACAAACACAGACCAGAATTAGAATTAGATGAGATGTACCAGACCTTTGAGTCGTTACTGATGAGTCCCCCCCCTCTCTCTCTAGCCAAGCATGGAGGTTTAGTCAAACAAGGTACTAGAGCCAAACAGTATGGTGCAGCCAAACGTGGCAGTGCAGGTGGCGTAGCTATGCAAGGTAATGCAGTTAAACAAGATGGTATAAGCAAACAGGTGGTGTAGCCAAACAAGGTGGTATAGCCAAACAAGGTGGTGTAGGCAAACAAGGTGGTGTGAGCAAACAAGATTGTTTAGCCAAACAAGATGGTGTAGCCAAACAAGATGGTGTGGCAAACAGATGGTGTAGCCAAACAAGGTGGTGTGAGGCAAACAAGGTGGTGTAGCCAAACAAGATTTTTTAGCCAAACAAGATGGTGTAGCCAAACAAGGTGGTATAGCCAAACAAGGTGGTATAGCCAAACAAGGTGGTGTAGCCAAACAAGGTGGTATAGCCAAACAAGTTGGTATAGCCAAACAAGGTGGTGTAGGCAAACAAGGTGGTATAGCCAAACAAGGTGGTATAGTAAAACAAGGTGGTGTAGCCAAACAAAGGTGGTATAGCCAAACAAGGTGGTATAGCCAAACAAGGTGGTGTAGGCAAACAAGGTGGTGTAGGTAAACAAGATTGTTTAGCCAAACAAGATAGTGTAGCCAAACAAGATGGTGTAGCCAAACAAGATGGTGTAGCCAAACAAGGTGTGGAAGCAAACAAGATGGTGTAGCAAACAAGATTGTTTAGCCAAACAAGATGGTGTAGCCAAACAAGGTGGTATAGCCAAACAAGGTGGTGTGGGCAAACAAGGTGGTGTGGGCAAACAGATTGTTTAGCCAAACAAGATGGTGTAGCCAAACAAGGTGGTATAGCCAAACAAGGTGGTGTAGGCAAACAAGATGGTGTAGCCAAACATGAAGCCGTCCAAGAAGAATGTGGAGTACAGGACGCCTGGTGGTGTACACTGTGTCCCTCGGATAGATCAGAGACTTTCAGGTCCCAGGGGTGACAGTGTCGGCCGGAGCTCCTCAACCACTTCCTGTGTGTCACATTATTGAGGCCAAGTAGCACCACCAGCACTCTCAGCACCATCAGCACTTCCATGGCCTTCAGCACCATCAGCACTTCCATGGCCTCCTAGTACCACCCAGCACTCCCAGCCCCAGCTCCACAGCACTCCATGGCCACCAGCACTCCCACCAGCCCCAGCTCCTGGCACTCCCATGCACCAGCACTCCATGGCCACCAGCACTCCGCCACCAGCCTCCCATGGCCCCCCAGCTCCTGCTCCCATGGCCACCAGCACTCCCATGGCCCCCAGCTCCACAGCACTCCATGGACAACTTCCCATGGCCCCAGCTCACCAGCACTCCCCATGGCCACCAGCACTCCCATGGCCCCCAGCTCCACCAGCACTCCCGCCCTCAGCTCCACCAGCACTCCCCGCAGCCTTTAGCACCATAGCGCTCCCATGGCCCCCAGCACCACCAACACCCGGCCCCCAGCTCCAGCTCCCATGGCCCAGGCTCCTGGCCTCCCATGGCCCCAGCTCAGCCTCCCATGGCCCCAGCTCCAGCCTCCTGGCCCCAGCACCACCAGCCTCCCATGGCCTTCAGCACCACAGGGTCTCCACCACCACCAGGGTCTCAGGGGCCTCGCTACATGTCCCTGCCTTAGTACCCGTGACGCAGAGGTGAGCTGCCTCCTGCATACTTCTCTCACCTGCCTCACCTCTCACCTGTTACACCTCTTTCCTTTCCTCCCACCCCACTTACCTTCCCCTTCTTCCCTCACCTCCCTTTCCTTTATCCCTCTCCCCCCAGCCTATCATCTGTCTCACCTGCCATACCTGTCTCTCACTTGCCTCAAGTCACCTCTCCCTCACCTCTCTCCCCTATCTCTCTCTCTCACCTCCCTCCCATTTCCCTCGCCTCCCTCATCCAATCTTGTACCCAAACACATCTCACGCGTCCATGCAACATTGATACAGCAAACCTCCCTCCCACCATCCCCTCCTCCCTCCCCTCCCCCCTGAGAGATCTTGCTCACGCCCTGAGAGACCTATATCTCAACCTTGATATATCTCCTCACCCCTCACCCCCACACCTGATATATATCTGCCCGACTGATATATTTCGTGAGGTAATTTATGAATCTCTCAAGAGAAGTGAGAGGGGGGAGGGGGGAGGATGGGGAGGAGGTAGAAATTTTCGTTTTTTGGCCGGTAAAAATTCGTACCTCACCACAGTTTGTTGAGCAATATAAATTTTAGTTTTAGGTTAGTTTCCCATTTTCTGTCTCCTAGTGGTACGTTTCTATGATTAAATTTGTTATTGTTTTATTACAATTTTCGTCTGAGTTTTATTTATATTTATTTATATTACTGTTTATATTTTATTTTTACCTTAAATTCTATTATATTTTATTATATATTTGCATCTTAATTACTTGTGTGGTTAGGTTAATGGTAATGTTATTGTTATTGTTATTTATGAAGATGTTATTGTTCTTGCTGTTATTGTTCACGATATTGTTGCTGTTATTGTTATTGATGAGGACGTTGTTGTTGATTAGGATGTTATTGTTGTTCATGTTATTGTTGAGAGTTATAACAGCACTATAATTAATCAGCCTCCCAAAAGGTAGAGCTAATTAGTGAGGTGTTTTACCTTCCCTCACAGTATTAGTGCAAGTTGGGTTATATCTTATATCTTAATTACTCTCTTAATGACCCATCTGTTATGTCACGCGGTGATCTACTAGGGGGTGAGAGAAGAGGTGAGATACAGAGAGGTGAGAGAGGTGAAGGGGAGTGAGATACAGGGGTGACAGAGGTGAGAATATACAGAGGGGTGACAGAGGTGAGATACAGAGGGTGACAGAGGTGAGACATAGGGGGTGACAGAGGTGAGAGAGGTGAGATAGGAGAGGTCAGATAGAGGGGGAGGTGGGGGAGGGAGGTCAGATGGAGGTTAGGGAGGAGGACGTGAGATAGTGAGAGAAGGGGTGAAAGGGCAGGTGAGATAGTGAGATGGGGGAGGGAAGATGTGAAAGAGGGAGAGTGGGGGAGGGAGATGAGAGAAATAACAGTGGGTTGGGAGAGGAAGAAATATAGAGACACAGGGTAGGTCGGGCAGGTCTCCTTCATAGAGGGTAGGTCGGGCAGGTCTTCATGCAGGGTAGGTCAGGCAGGTCTTCTTCATAGAGGGTAGGTCGGGCAGGTCTCCTTCATGCAGGGTAAGATCAGGCAGGTCTCCCTTCATAGAGGTAAGTCGGGCAGTCTCCTTCATGCAGAGGTGGAGTCGGGCAGGTCTCCTTCATGCAGGAGTAGGTCAGGCAGGTCTCCTTCATAGAGGTGAGTCGGGCAGGTCTCCTTCATGCAGGGGTAGGTCGGGCAGGTCTCCTTCATAGAGAGTAGGTCGGGCAGGTCTCCTTCATAAAGGAGTAGGTCAGGCAGGTCTCCTTCATAGAGGGGTAGGTCAGGCAGGTCTCCTTCATAGAGTGGAGTCGGGCAGGTCTCCTTCATGCAGGAGTAGGTCGGGCAGGTCTCCTTCATAGAGGGTGGTCAGGCAGGTCTCCTTCATGCAGGGGTAGGTCAGGCAGGTCTCCTTCATGCAGGGAGTAGGTCGGGCAGGTCTCCTTCACTAGAGGTAAGTCGGGCAGGTCTCCTTCATAAAGGTAGGTCAGGCAGGTCTCCTTCATAGGGGTAGGTCGGGCAGGTCTCCTTCATAGAGGGTAGGTCGGGCAGGTCTCCTTCATGCAGGAGTAGGTCAGGCAGGTCTCCTTCATAGAGTGTAGGTCAGGCAGGTCTCCTTCATAGAGGGTAGGTCAGGCAGGTCTCCTTCATAGAGAGGGTAGGTCAGGCAGGGTCTCCTTCATAGGAGTGAGTCGGGCAGGTCTCCTTCATAGAGGTGGGTCGGGCAGGTCTCCTTCATAGAGGTAGGTCGGGCAGGTCTCCTTCATAGAGGAGTAGGTCAGGCAGGTCTCCTTCATAGAGGAGTAGGTCAGGCAGGTCTCCTTCATGCAGGGTAGGTCGCGCAGGTCTCCTTCTAGAGGTGGGTCGGGCAGGTCTCCTTCATGCAGGAGTAGGTCAGGCAGGTCTCCTTCATAGAAGGGTAGGTCAGGCTGGTCTCTTTCATGCAGGAGTAGGTCAGGCAGGTCTCCTTCATAGAGGTAGGTCGGACAGGTCTCTTTCATACTGGGTAGGTCAGGCAGGTCTCCTTCATAGAGGGTAGGTCGGGCAGGTCTCTTTCATACTGGGTAGGTCAGGCAGGTCTCTTTCATACTGGGTAGGTCGGGCAGGTCTCTCCTTCCATAGAGGTGGAGTCGGACAGGTCTCTTTCATACTGGGTAGGTCGGGCAGGTCTCCTTCATAGAGGGGTAGGTCAGGCTGGTCTCTTTCATACTGGAGTAGGTCGGGCAGGTCTCCTTCATAGAGGGTAGGTCGGGCAGGTCTCTTTCATACTTGTAGGTCGGGCAGGTCTTTTCATACTGGGTAGGTCGGGCAGGTCTCTTTCATACTGGGTAGGTCGGGCAGGTCTCTTTCATACTGGGTAGGTCAGGCAGGTCTCCTTCAACAGGACTGAAATTAAAACTTTTCTCATCATCAAAGAACTTTGTGAAAACATTTAGGAGTCGCATGTGTGTGTGTGTGTGTTTCTCCTCTCTCCTCTCTCTCTCTCTCTCTCTCTCTCTCTCTCTCTCTCTCTCTCTCTCAGCCCCTCCCTTCAATCCTCATTTTTCTCTCAAATCTATCCATCTCTCCTCGACCCTCACCATCTCCACACCCTCATCACATTATGTAAACACGTAGGTAACTCTGCTGACACGCCTTCTCTTCTTAACACTATTTCGGGTTTCCAGGTTCGACTCCCTCCTCGTAGCTTTCTAGTTCGTGCTTTTGACTTTCTGCCTCTGCCATATTTCTGGATGATGTGTCTTCTTCTTCTTCTTCTTCTTCTTCTTCTTCTTCTTCTTCTTCTTCTTCTTCTTCTTCTTCCCGTTGTGTTGCAAGTTAGAAAGATTGGTTGGGAGGAGGGAGGGAGGGAGGGAGGTGAGTAAGGTGGGTGAGAGGTAGGGAAGGATAGAAGGAGAGAAGGAAGGAGATAGGGAGAGAGGATGAATAGGTGAGATGAAGGACGGGAAAAGAAGAAGACAACGAAAGAAGAAAGAAAGAATGAAAGAAAAGAAAGAAAGGAAGTTCTCAAGGATGTTAATACTGGTTGAGGTCCAGCGCTGTTCTTCCTAATTCAATCACTCGGAGCCGGAGAAATTCATCGTGATAGCCAGTGTAGACGAGGAAGGTGTTGGGGGGAGAGGAGAAGTGAGTGGGGTGGAAGGGTGGTAGCGAGGGTGAGAAGTTGGGGGTGGGAAGGGCTAAGAAGAATGGAGGTTAGATTAAGTTAGGTTAAGTTAGGTTAGGTTAGGTTAGGTTAGGTTAGGTTAGATTAGGTTAGGTTAGGTTAGGTTAGTTATCGTCCTAAACATCCACGACTATTGTACTTCTTTGTTTTGTTTCTTGACTTTTATATAGTGTTGTTGGTGTGTAAAATATTAGTTTATTTTTGTTCTGTATTGTAAAGTGTGTGTGTGTGTGTGTGTGTGTGTGTGTGTGTGTGTGTGTGTGTGTGTGTGTGTGTGTGTGTGTGTGTGTGTGTGTGTGTCTCGGCACCTTTAATACCTAAGATTAATTCATTTCGGGAATGGACCAGATCAGCCTTCTGTCTTCACCTCTACTGAGAAACAACACACCTGTATCTTTTTACCTGCCTTCCTCTCTTTCTTTTAAGACACCTAACACCTTTTATCTTCTAGAATTATTTAGTTTAATTTAATTATTTATGAGAAAATAACGTGTGTGTTATGTTATGTTATGGTGTTATTATTATCATCATCATCGTCATCCATATTATTATTACTTCTATACCTAAAATATACAGTACTCTCTCTCTCTCTCTCTCTCTCTCTCTCTCTCTCTCTCTCTCTCTCTCTCTCTCTCTCTCTCTCTCTCTCTCTCTCTCTCTCTCTCTCGCCGTCTTCACAAGAGGAAAAATGTCCCTTATTTCGGGGTGAGAGGCCGGAGGGTTGAGTGGAGGAGGAAAGGGGAGGGAGGAAGTGGAGGAGTAGGAGGG